TAGCAGTGCAGTGCTTATCTTGTAGCACAATACAAGGATTCCATATCTACTAGGATGGTAAAGGTACACCATTTTGTATTTCCTTTCAAGGACACTGTGCTAATAAATATGCAGTTCAAGGACAATGTCATATTGAAACATATACTAATAGATTTACACAAGTAAAATGAAATTTCCATCATGGCTATTTAATGTATCTCAATTAATTTCATTGATTTCAACTCATGCTCTATCAACTCTTTAAATATAGTACCTTCAGATGCTAAACTTTGTCAGACATTGTGTAATAATACATAATTAAATAATGCATTTTATTTTGCTGTTTCTTCTAAGCATAGCTGCATTAATTACTATTCAGACTTCCTGTGTTTTATACTTCTTTTCTGTATTTCCCATTTTGAAATACCTTGTAATACTATTTTGATTCTCAATGTTTCCAAAACTAATCCTCTAGTATGATACAGTTGGCTCAGGGCAGATATCTAGAACTGTTATTAAATAAGGCTAAAGCCTTTTAACAGCGCATAAATTTTCTGAATGAAAAATTTTTACAAAGGTATGAAAATATTTTAATAATTCAAAGTAGACATGGAGGAAAAGATCACCTGTTCTCATCACATGCCTGTTTACAAATATATATATATTCTAATATAAAATCTCATTTCAATACAGTGAGAAATGATTTTAAAAAAAAAGATTTCAGTGTATTTAGATTGATCACATATCTCATTTAAATATAATCTGATAACAAATTATAGGTAGCACAGATATTGACTAAAAGATGGGTTATCCAATCTGTTACAACTGCTGGTAATGCATACTTACTAAGGGATTTTATTTACAATGTATTGTATTATGAAGTAAAATCTTTTCATTTTTTCTGATAATTATTATAGAAGTACTATTGAAAATTGATACCAACTTCAGTTATTTCATCTAGATTGTTTGTAATCTAGATTTGACTTTTGAGTTGAATATAAAATGGACAAAATGATGATAAATAAAAAGCTATGAAAAATGTGGAAAGAAACCAAAGTAGAAATAAACTGATAAACAGGTTTAGAAACTTTTCTCGCCTTAAACACAGCTGAGACACATAAGTTGGTGATCAAGTTTGATGCCAATCTTTCTTTCCCTTCATATTTCCACAGATATTTGATTTGCTGGATCACCTCCACTAAAAATAAAAGAAAACAAAATCATGGCCAAGAAACCAGTCTCAAATAGCAGTATCTTTTAATGGCTGATTTGAGGTAAAGAAATTCACTGAGAATGCAATGTACAAACAAAAAGCATAGTTTTATTCTAAGCAAGGAAGAAGTGATAAAAGTAAGCAAAAGAAATGGCAAATAATCAACTTAATTTATGCATCTAATGTAGACTCTCCCTACCTTCCTCTACGGCTGAAAATCTGTTACAACCCAATTATGAAAACTGAAAATCTGTATCACAAATTATCAACCCATTGGCAATAAACCAACTGAAATTACAACTAGGTTTAAAACTGCAAAAAATAGCATGAGGATGCTTCAAAACGTTCATGGAAAAATTCTATTATATTTTCATTCCATTTTTCCATGAACTTTTTTAAGCCCCCTTATAGAATCTGAGTAGCCAAAATCAAACTCTGAATTAAACATTTAGAATTAAAATAGAAATGCTTTAAAAATAAAAATGTTTTCTGCATAGAAACAACATATTACATGATCTTAAATTAACATTTAAGATCAACTTAATGTTACAGATTGAATTATGTCTCCCCAAAAGATATGTTGAAATCTGAAATCCCATACCAGAGTAAACCTTAGATGTAACTCTATTGGATTTTCTTTGTTACGTTAATAAGGTCATACCAGTGTAGCATGTGTCCAAAACCTGATTACTTCTGAGTTATAAAAAGAACAGATTAGACACAGATGTTTGCACAAATTGGGGAAGACAGACACCATAAGAGAACTGCCTGCAAGCCAAGAAACCAAGGAATGCCCAAGGCTACCAAATATGGCCAACACCCTGATTTAGACCTTTAGCTTCCAGAACTCTGAGAAAATATATTGCTGTTCTTAAAAGCCACACAGTTGTGGTGTTTGTTTTATAAGCAGAAGATATATATGAAAAATAATCAAGGATATAATGTTTTATAGCTAGACAATTTATGTACATTAGCTTAAACTTCATAATCTTCTGAGTAGTAATATTTTCATACATATTATAGAAAAGAAAACTAAGGCTCAGAAAAATAGCATCATCACGAATGCCACTCAGCCAGTAAGAGGTAAAATTTTCTCCCACATCTATCTGCTGCTCAAATACATCATAACCAACCAAGCACATGACTAGGTATAATTACACACCACACCAATAAACACTGACAATTCTCTTTGGCATGATAGCTACAACACAGTCACTATTTTTCAAAGAGAACTTACCAAAGAAAGGAGTAAGGTGAATAGCTACTCATGGTGGGGCTCAAAGCCTGGGTTTTTAAAAAGTGCATTTAATTTTAACTTTTAAATTTTATATTAATGATGTTTGCCAATTATTCGTGTCCATCAAATTCAATCTGATTGGCAAGAACAGAGATTGGAACATGTAATGACTCATACTAATTCACAATATTAAGGAAACAAATTTTTACTAAACCTAATATAAATGATTATTTTCTTCCATATGGCTCATCTTTCTTTCCTTTACGATTATATCACAATTCTTACAGCTATTTATTTCAAGCACTAGCTAGAATTTCAGAAAAAGATAGAAAATTCATTAAATGTTTTAAAGCTTTGTTTACTACCGTTAACCTCTGTAACTCCATGGTTTGCATATGAACTTCGTGTTCATTGTTAAGTGCCTTAGAGTCAATTCCAACTCATAGCAACCCTGTGTAGGGTTTCTGTTGAGCAGCTGGTGAATTTGAACCTACAGTCTTGCAGTTCAAACCAAACTTATGGTCGAATGTTTATCCTATAGTGTCACACCAGAACATATGAACTATTTTCTTTAAAAGGTGATTTGTGATTTGGAGGATCTCTGATGCCATCTCACTTGCGCTAGGTTAGGGCCACAGCTGCCACAGAAGCTGGAGCTGAGATCACAGGTTACTGTAACCTGGTCCCATGGTCAAAATTCTGGCTTGGATCACAGAATGGAGATCAGCACTATATTTTCAGGCTTTTGAGCAGACTGATTCATTTGCAGCCACATGCAGTCTCTTCAGCCTTGACCTTCAGAAGAGGTAGGACAGGACACAGACTTCAGAGTCATCAAATTGAGCTTAAACTGTGATCATATATGTAAGATAAACAATACATTTGAGGGTGGGTGGGACCTACCAATTAAAGTGGTTCTGAGTGGAGACACACCCAAATGAAAAGGCAAAACCAACTGTCATTGAATCAATTCCAATTCATAGAAATTCCATGTGTGTCAGAGGAGAACTGTGTTTCATAGAGTTTTCATGACTCTGACCTCCGAGAGTAGACTTTCTTCTGAGGTGCTTTTGGGTGGATTTGAACAGCCAATGGGCAATTAGTTAGTAGCTGATTACTTAACCATTTTAAGCACTGGAAGTCCTACACCCACATGAGCAGAATGGATAGAAGCCCAAAACATACACCTATCATGAGTTTCTCCACCTGCTCCCAAGCTTTCTCTAATTTATTATACAGTAATAGAAGTCTTTTCAGCAAAAGAGGACATGGTCAGATGGAGGAAAAAAAATACTCTAACTCTTGTGCTCTGTGATCAAGTTGAAAACAAAAAGAAAGGCCTCATTTCTCTAATATTTAAAAAATTCTGTCCTACAGTCTAACTTTTAAAATTCACTCTGAGATGGGTAAAAGATTGGGAATGCTTATGGATAACCTGGCGATTCATCCATTGCTGGAGTTACAAGACAGCTGACCTGGACCGACAGTGTGTTGTTGTGAGGCAATCAGATGAAGATTTGTGGAAAGCCTGAGGCTTCCTGGAACCCAGGCCTAATTCATAAAGACTGAAGAAGTTCCTGAAATACAAAGCATATGAGCAGTGGCTTCTAAATCTCTTGATAATAGATGGCACTTCAATTCTAAAAATGTGTTTCCATTTAAATGCCATTACTTAATTTTCTTCATATACTCAGGAATAGAGTGAGGATACAGATATAATTTCAATCTCTATCTGAAGAGTTTCTTAAAATGCTAGGTAGACTGTCATGACATAAATCACAGAGAAAAAGTGAATTTATTTAGCTAAGGAAAGCAGTATTATTAGTAGTAAGCATTATTAGACTAACAGCTACATTTCTTATGTGACATAATGTATATTTCTTATGAGAAGATAGAAAACTTTAAATAAACATGATTTGTTGTTGTTGTTAAATGCCGTCCAGTTGGTTCTGACTCACAGTGAACCCGTATAGGGTTTCCGAGGAGCAACTATTGGGTTTGAACTGCCTCAACCTTGAGGTTAGCAGTCCAGTGTTTACCCTACAGCACCGTCTAGAAATATGAATTCAGGATGTCAGCTATAAGGAAAAACTTTCTCTCTGTTCCTAGTCTCCTTTCAAACATCTGTGGACCCAGCATTCCTTGGAGATCTCCATGTGTCTTGACCTTTGGGTCTAAAATACTTTCAGCACAAGGATCCCAGGTTCTTGTGCTCTGCTCCCAACTCTACTTTCTTGGTGGTATTCAGGTTCCTACTTTACTTCTGTATTTTCTTGATGGTATTCAGACTCTACTTAGTACTTCTTTATAATTCTGATTCAAATCAGCATTTTTCCATTGTTTCAATTGAATGTCGTTGTTGTTAAGTGTTGTCAAGTGATTCGGAATCATAGGACCCTGTATAGTTTCTGAGGAGCAGGTGGTTAGCTTGAACCACTAGCCTTGCAATCCGGTGCATTAACCCACAGTTCAATTGAATGCTAGATTTTAATTCTAGGTAAGAAATAACTCATTAAAAAAGAAAAGAAAAGTTCATCAGGTAACTATCGCAAATAATTAAGGTTTCCTTACTTGTAACCAAGCTGTCGGCAGATCACAGCTGCATCCTTATCCGTCCAACCATCATCACAAATTGTTCCCCACTGGCCATTGATAAAGACTTCTACTCGTCCTTCTTTCTTATTTTCTCCATCCATCAGCCTGATAGGAAAACCTGGCATGATTCAAAAATATTTAAAAAGTCAAAACAAGCAAACTGATGCTAAGCATAAGAGACTACGGAATACAATCACTTTTCTTACTTTTTTAAAAAATTAGCAACAAAATCAGCTGGGCAATAACAGTGAGGGAACTGACCTGATCTGGAGAGAAGTGATGAGCTGAGCTGAGCTGTTGGATTCAGATACTGAGACAAAATGAAAGTAATAACCAAGCCTTTAATCACTTGCTGAGATAGTAAGCAAGAGAAATCAAGACACCAGCTCCCACTGTTCATATTTCCCCAGGAATAGTACTCAGAAAAGGGTCAGGTGGATCAGCATAAACCTGGGTCCCCATCTCACTGCTGAGGGAGCCCTGAACAAAAGGTTCCCAGTTTTATGGGCCCCAGAGCCAGTGAGGAGAGTGAGGGGGAAGGGCTAGGAATGGAAAGCACTGAGTTCTGAGTCAGTGTGGGGAAAAGTGTTTTCAAGTTCCTTCCTTCCCCCTGATTCTTCATCAGGTTTTAGGCGGGAGCCTGAGAAAGGCTTCAGTTTGCAGGCACCTGGTCTAGGAATGCAGATATGTAAAGGAACATGGGCTAGGGTGGGCATAAGGTGAGCCCTTGGCTACAACTCCCCTCAGAAACTGCAGTTCACTGGCTGTGCATCAAGTCTGATTGGGGAGGGCAGCTCTCCCTCAGACTTGCCAGGTAAAGCTTTTGTAATCGTCTGTGGTCAGACATGTTTGGAAACACTATGACTCAACGGCACTTAACAACAACAACAATGGTCAGGCAAGTTTGAGCCAGTAGCCAGACTCCTCAGTAAGTTTTTTCAGAGAAAAGGGTTATCAATAAAGAATTGTATTCACTTTTTCAATATGTTTGGAAGCCAGAAGGTCAAAGTGCCTCATCTTGCTCAACTTTGTATCTCCCACACTTAGAACAGCATCTGACACACAGAGGACATGCAATAGCTGTTGAATGAACTCAAGAATGAATAAAGCCTCCAAGTTCATTGTGACTCATACAAGTCTGTAGGACAGAGTGGAACTGCTCCATAGGGTTTCCAAGACTATAAATCTTGAGGGGAAAATACTGCCACATGTTTCTTCCATTGAGCAGTTGGTGGGTTCAACCTGCTGACCTTTTGGTTAGTAGCTCAACAGTTAACCCACATAAAATTGTGAATTATCTTGCCACTAACTTCTAAATAGTAAAAGAACAATAACTAGAGCTGGTTTTTGTTTCATCTATGAACATAGCTGAAATGTATCCTCCAAAGCTAAGATTTTCAGGAAGAAACAGATAAATATACCCTTGGCATGCATGGGTAATTTAAGGTCTAATGTCTGTGTCAATGAATGAAGAAAAACAGAAGAAGAATTGATGCCTTTGAATTTATGATATTTTAATATAGCATGGCAAAGAAAATTAAACATAATACTATGAACTGTCAGGTAAACAAACAAATCTGTCTTGGAAAAATACAGCCAGAATGTTCCTTATAACTAAACAAAGATGATGAAACTTTGTCTCATGTACTTTGCACATGTTATCAGGAGGGACCAGTCCCATGAGAAGGACATCATGCTTGGTAACGTAGGTGGCTAGCAAAAAAGAGAATTGGCACAGTGGCTGCATCAATGAGCTCAAACGTAGCCATGAAAAATGGCTGTGAAGGAGCGGGTAGAAAAACGAAGAAAACTAATAGTACATTTTCTCTCTAAGCTTCCTATTTACCACCGGTTTCAAGGAAAGTGCTTAATTAAGCCATTAGACTTAAAAGTTGAAAAACTGATCTCAAGAAAATTGAAGTTTTTCTAATTAAGCATATAGTTTTTTGTAGTTTCATATAGTCTATCGATATCAATAAATGTGATGGCGCTTAACTGAAAGCCCTCACTATGGCTTACATACTTTTGGTTTCCTAGTTACTAGACGCTGTAAGACAAGGGCTGGATCGCAAGGTCAGTTTGAACCACAGGGTGGCTGTGAATTGAAACTGATTCCATGGCACTTACAACAACAGAAGAGTCTCCAGTTTCTGGGCCTCCAAGCTTTATTGGTAAGGATTTAGGGAGTAAAATGAAACATGGTTAAAGAACCTCGAGAACCCAATATCCTGAACCACTATGTAGATGAAAGTTGACAGCTAAGGAACAAAATATTATCTAACATATGTTTAAGTCAATGTTAAGTGATTAGTACATGGGTATTTGTTAACTGAAAGGGAATATTGTTGGCAAGACAGTCACATCTTACTTTTACTTTTCTGACCCAATTTTACTTCTCTATTCCTCTTTGTGATCCACACAATTGAAAGCCTTTATGTAGTCAATAAAGCACAGGAAAACAACTTTCTGGTATTTTCTGCTTTCAGCCAAGATCCATCAGATATCAGCAATGCTATGTCCTCTTCTGAATCCGGCTTGAACCTCTGGAAGTTCTCTGTCAATGTATGCTTGCAGCCATTTCTGTATTACTTTTAGTAAAACTTTACTCACATGAGATATCAAAGATATTGTCTAATGATTTCCACATTCTGTTGGGCCATCTCTCTTTAGAATGAGCATAAATATGGATCTCTTCCAATCAGTTGGTCAGATAGTTGTCTTCCAAATTACTTGGCAGAGATGAGTGAGTGTCTCCTGTGCCACCTCACTTTCTTGAAAGATTTCAATTTGTATTCCATCAATTCCTGGTGTCTTGTTCTTTGAACATCAACTATTTCCTTTTGGTACAGTGACTGTGTAGTCCTTCCATATTCTTTTGATGCTTTCTGCATCATTCAATATTTTCCCCAGATAATCCTTCAATAACTTAAAATACTTACTGATGAAGATCAAAGAGCACAGCTTTCAGTATGGATTGCATCTCAATGTAAAGAAAACAAAAAATCCTCACCACTGGACCAATAAACAACATTCTTATCAATGGAGAAAAGACTGAAGTTGTCAAGGACTTCATTCTTCTTGAAACAACCATCAATACTCATGGAAGCAGCAGTCAAGAAATCCAACGACGTATTGCATTAGGCAAACCTGCTGCACAAGACAGTTTTAAAGTGCTGAAGAGCAAAGATGTCAGCTTGAGGACTAAGGTGCACCTGACTCAAGCCATGGTATTTTCAATAACCTCATACGCATGTGAAAGCTCAACAGTGAATAAGGAAGACTGTAGAAGAATTTATGCTTTGGAGTTATGGTGTTGGAAGAGAATATTGAAAGTGCCATGGGCAGCCAAAAGAACCAACAGATCTGTGTTGGAAGAAGTAAAGCCAGAATGCTCCTTGGAGGGCAGGATGGCCAAACTTCATCTCTCATATTTCAGACATGCTGTCAGGAGGGACCAGTTACCGGAGAAAGATATCATGTTTGGTAAGGTCGAGGGTCAGAGAAAAAGAGGAAGACCCCCAGTGAGATGGGTTAGCCAAGTGGCAGCATCAATGGGCTCAAGCGTGGCAACAATTGTGAGGTTAGCCCAGAACTGAGCAATGTTTCATTCTGTTGTGCATAGGGTCGCTATGAGTTGATATGGACTCGATGGGACATAACAACATCAACAACATTCCTCTTTGTTTCCTCCAGTGTTGTTGGCTCCCTGGTTTCTACTCCCGATCAAGATCACTTCCTGAGATAGAGAACCATATACAGATAATTGAAAAATCAATATACAAAACAGTTCAAGAATGGATGCTCCACAATCAGACCGCATGAGTTCAAATCCTTCCTATGTCTTTATGCAAGTAAGTTTAACCTCAGTGTGCCTAAATTTCTTCATGTGGAACAGAGGGCTAACTGTCTTAAATACCTTATAGTAGTTGTGTTACATAAGATCATTTGTAAAATTTTAAAGTAGAGCATGCACAGAGTAAACATTCAGTAACTGTTGGCTACTATGAGCAAACAACACTAAACCAAAAGGAGATTTGAATTAACATCCTGCCAAATAACTTCTTTATGACCTTGGTCAATATTTAACTTCACCAATATTTAACTTCACCCATTTACTGAAAAATTGGATAATGAAGTCTTTATAATAACAATAGCAAATCAGACATGAATCAGGCACCAATCTAAGGCACTTCCACTGCTTAAGTTCAGTGACTTTAAAATATGATAATTTTTAATGATCTGCATATGGCTGACTCAATTTTTGCAGTATAGTTCTAAGGAGACCTTTTGAGGTGTCTGGCAGCTCCTTTTGACCCCTCACTCACAGACAGATTTGCAGTACCCAATGTAAATTCATTCTACTGGTCACACTTGACTAGGCCAGGATGGATTCCTAATCAGTGTTAAATCAATAGGATTTTCTCTCTTGAAAAATTAGAGTGAGGACTAAAAGACTCTATCAATCTTGGCTATTAGCTTGAATTGAGGTGACATAAATGGTAATTAAAGGGCATTAATTGTAGTGCATGAAACACCAAGAAAGTCAGCCTGCTGAGAGATAAATGAATAAAGCAGATACAGAGAGCAAAAAGTTAGCTCACTTGGGATTCCAAGTGGCTTCCCAGCTCCTAGCTCAATGACATGGTGAAGTTTAGCTGTATTCAGATTTCATAAATTATCATATATGTTATTGTTAAGTGCTGTCAAGTCAGTTCAACTCATAGGGTTCCCAAGGGTTTGAAATCACCAACCTTAAGGTTAGCAGTCCAGTGCTATATATATATATTTGTTGGGCACTGTCGAGTCATAGTGACCCTATACACAAGAGAATTTTCCAATCCAGTGCCATCATCACAATTGTTGCTATGCTTGAAACCATTGTGGTTGCCACCTTGTTAATCCATACAGCAGATTTGCTGAATCTATTATGTAGTTCGGTTTCTTGACTGCTGCTTCTGTGAGTGTTGATTGTGGATCTAAGCAAAATGAAGTCTCTGACAACTACAATTTTTTTCTCCATTTATGATGTTATTTATTGATCCAGTTGTGAGGATTTTTTTCTTTACACTGAAATGTAATCCATACAGAAGGCTGCAGTCTTTGATTTTCATCAGCAAA